TGGGCTGAATTGCACAAAACGCATGATCGCACCGGCTAGTCTGGTGCGCGTTGCTATTTATTTTGTCATAACAGTGCGGTGATCGATTCCCATGTTGAATGCGGCGCTGCGGGAGTATCTTTGAGAATGAGTTAGGCACTGACCAAGATGTATTCGATTTTATTCTTTCTTATGTTTAGTACAAGCCAGGTCCATTTTCATTCTGCGTTTTTGTAGGATCAGTTATTACCAACAGTTTGTCCGTCCTCATCAGTAATAACGCACCATCTCTGTTATTTCTTCTGCTAATGCCGTTTCTGATAATATGCTTCTCTCCATTTCCTTTCCAACTTCACACTGTAACGGTTTTATGTGTAGACATTAGAGATTAGTGTGGAGTCGAGCCCTGCACAGAACTTTACAACTTTGCCGCTGACGCAAGCCACAGAGTGGGGATAAACAGCAGTGATTTTGAATATTTTATTGAAATGCAGCCTAGGATGAACGTCTGTTCGTGATGAGTGTAAGATGATGGGTGATTTTCGAGAGCCATTTTCCGTTGACGGTAAACAGAACTCCACTAATATTTTCCCGTTCTTTGTTGCCTAACAGAATCATTTTACCTTTGTCCAAATTACGATGTGTTTGGCCCTTTGCCGTGTTTCACACACTGCAAAATATCATTGTTTTATATTTGTTTCATGCATGTGAATAAATTTGCCCCGATTTCTTAGACTGCTGTTCAGCAAATTTTTTTGGACGTTTTCGTTATTAGCTCTGAAATTTATGTTCACTTAGTAATTTTGTATGAAGGCATTTATATTCACTTAGTAATTTTGTTTGCATATTTTGCAGGCACAGAATTGAGCGAGAGCTGTTGTATGATCGACAGCGTCGTGAAGTGTTTCTGGCTCGTCTTCGTTCGCATCACAGTCATCCAAGGGCAGCGAATACGTTAACTCCAACTGGCGGCGGCTATATGACGCGTTCTGTTGATAGTTCTGAAAGCAGCCGACATATTCCTTTTCACATTTTGTATCATCATCCAGCCGCCTCCTATCTCACTTCTCGAGTAATGTTGTCATCATCGATTTCGCTTCCTGGAAGTCCGCCGCAAAATAGTTTCCTTGGACAACATGGAACGCAGTTCAGGGACGGCTTGGTATGTTTGATCGACAAATTTTCGTGTTATTATCTTTGATCAGTCTCAGTATACGGAAATATTTTTTATATCTGTCTGTGAAAAAACTTTTGTATTTCATTTTGAAGTATGAA